CTCCACCCTCCCGGTTCTATACCAAGTCAACCCCGCCAAGCGTCCTCCCCACGGCCCTTTCAGCTTCCCCACTGTAATGGCCATGTGGGACGCCCAGCCCTCCGCGCTGTCTTGGGTTTATTGGGGAAGTAGGCAGGTCACCCGTGAGGATCAGAAATGCTCACGGGACAGCTCCTCAGTCAGACAACCTCTTCTCAGCCACGTCCACAGGCTCCCCTCTTGGTCACATGGCCCATTGGCCTCTTGCCCTGTGTGGGCAACGCTGGCAAAGCTCTGCCCAAAGGAACGCCACGCCCCCAGGGAGCCTCAGTCGGAAGACCCTCCGCTCCAGTCCCCAGATCAATGCCAGCGGCACTCCACTGCACCAGACACCCTCCTGCCCATAGGCACTTGGCTTTCTCCCCCTGTGGGCCAGCTGCCTGCTCTGGGGCCACCGAGTGTCTGCCTCTGCTTCTTGCTGGGTCTCAGCCCCCCGGATGGAGGAGGAGGGGCTCCTCACAGAGCTCTGCTCCAGGCCCCCCTTTCACCGCTGTCGTGAGAAGCCACCTTCTGCTTCTGGGATACAGGAGGGAAAAACCGAGCCCCCTGGTCGGTTCCCAAAGGCCTCCCAGCGCCACTTGTTCACATGATAAAGAAGCGGTGCGATCTCGTGGGCCACAAACGCTCGCATATCAGCTGGAGTGGTGGGCTGGGTGATGCCTGGGTTTATGCGGCTGCAAAGCACAGAGCGGAGGCTTTTTCCTCCCATGGAGAGTGGTTGGACTTGGAAACCCAGCGGCACAGTTCTGTCCTGTCCACAAAACCAGACTCACTGCCGCCAGGGCTCCGTTCTGACTCTGAAGCCGGGCAGCCCCGCAGGGTCACCATAGGGCAGTGCATTTGAACCTTGGACCAGTCGTTTAGTGGGAGTGACAACGCTGGTGGCTAGAAAGCCCAAGGCCTTACAGTGGTTAGACAAGGAGCTGTGGGCGTGAGCCCGAGGCCTTGCCCCCAGCCGATCCGTCAGTATTTCCAACCATGAATGGACAAATAGATCTGACAGGGAGGGGCCGCCTAAAACAATGGCTGCCTGGCCAAGGCTGGGTATGGGGGCGGTGGGGGGAAGCTGTAGGGGAAGTGGAGAGGCCAGTGGGCCATCCCTGGCCAGGAAGCCATCCAGCAGGGCCTGTTGGGTTTCCACTGACACCGGAGAAGTAAACACATTCCTGGGTTGTGCAGGCATGCCCTGCTCGGGGCTCCATCTGCTGTCTGGTCCTCGGGCCTGGTTTCAGGACAAAGGGGAGAGCCCGGAGAGGCTGTGGAACTCGCTGGTGGCTGGGCCACCTCTTGCCCTCCACGCCAGAGGAGAAGGAAGGACATTCTGCTGCCCCCATCCCCAGTTGGGCCTGGCAGACGCTTGGGCAAGCTGGGCACCTCCCTCACCTCAGGCTCCCCACTGGGCCCTTTGTGCCTGAGATTCCCTCCGGAGCATTCTTAACTGGGCAAACTCCTGCGTGTACTTCAAAC